ACACACACGCACACGCACACGCACACGCACACGCACACGCACACGCACACAAACCAACAGACACACTTAGCGCGTTATATATAGTAGGATAGTACACGTTCATTACCACGTGAGCAATTATGTAGCCGCAAAATAGCAGTAGCGGGCGAAGGGGGTGTAACGTCAAGCGATGCACAACCAAACGCATGGTTCGGCGATCGAACCTCGAATACAAATTACAAGCCAACTAGACTACTCCTTGGAGATATTGAGTGCGGGACTCGTGTGGAGAACAAAAACACTGACTTATATACAGGCGGGAAGTACGTCTCGCTATATAGGCCACATAAGCATTCATAACATTACTAGACGAATAGAATAGACGTTGTTGGAGAATAAAATTGGTCAACGGCAAAAGACTTTATCTCTTATCTTATAAATGCAATGAACTTGTTTCAGTTTCTAAAATTATACAACGAAGTAATTCAACCTGTTTCGAATACTCCAAAACTTACTGAATTGGAATAGCCGAGCCACAGGAAGAATTCGCTAATTAGCTTGAAGGCACTGGAAGAGCTGATAGAAGTGGCAAATACTTCAATCAGGTACATGACGAAGAACGGCATCCAACAAATAATGAAACCTGGAATTTGCAACTACACACTATTTGCGGCGAAACAGCGTATTTTTTTCCTCAGCAGAGCATCTTCTCATAAAAAGGAAACAAAAGAAAAACACGAAGAAGCAATAGTATTGTTCAATTGTTAACAGTCCTGCGGGTGAGAAACTGGTAGCAGCCAAGCAGATAATTCGCAAGCTATTAGCCATGGAGAATTACAAATGGCTAGCTGTGTCTCTAGGCAAACAAGTAGATATAGCCATTACAATAGTTTTTCTCACAGTGCTTGACAATTTGTTTCACAGAAATGCTAAAGCAAAAGCATTTCAGCATTTCGAAACGCTTGTGCCGTCGGCTGATAATAGAGCATGCAGTATACGAATAACTAAACCGGCCTTAGAAGAAAGAACAAGCTAAATTCTGACTAGAATAATTAAGCCTGTACGCTTTTGTTATTCCGACTGTGACGAAAAGGAATGAGCAAGGCTTACCCATAACAACTATTCCGATTGTTTTGAGCGCTTTTCGCTCTCTCAAATAGACCATCTTTTCCTTCGAGCCTCGGACAGCTTTACCGGGACCATGAATGTGGTAGTGCTCGTTAGCCTTGAAGAAGAGACTTGAAGAAAGCAACATGGTGCCTAACACATTGATTCAAGGAGCTGACACGAACCTTCGCCAGTAAATTATTCGGCTGTAAGCGAGCATGCGCCGCTTGAGCCCGACGCGTCATTGACGGTACGTCCGAGTTTACTTCTGTGCTCTTTCGTTTTGGTACAATCTGTAAAATATTCTGAAAATATTTCGCATCAGAACGCACACTACATAAGCAGAATTTTGGCTACATACTTGACCACCGTTTGCCAAATCGGCCATCGAAAAGCATTCCCTTTCCATTGAATTGCGAGACTGCTTTCCGGACCCATTTGAAATGCCGTGCAACTGGCTCTCACACACGGACATCTGAAATGTATTAGCTTCCGAAAAAAATGATATCACTGGGACCGCAGTTGTACTTACGCCATAGAGGAAGCGTGGGATAAAGGGGTAAGGCATAGAAAGATACCTTTTTCGGTTACGGAACAGCATGAAAAGGGGAAATGATGTAAACGACAACACAGATAGTCACTTGAATGCACACACGTAACGTTTCTATTAGGTTGATGCATAATTATTGCGAATTTTTTCGCGGCTTTTTTTTCTCTCGATCGAATTTGAATATTGAGTTCAGGTTTTTCCTAGAAATGATCTACTTGATTTTCTCTACAAGAATATACTCAAAAAACCATCCGCATATCCGTAAAATTGGGCTTTACTACTTCGAGAAAGATTGGAAGGTGGCACAGTCATTCCGGGATCTCAGTAACTTTTCAGCGATCGTTCATTACGAGATCTAGTGAAAGTACACATGATTTCCTGGCGGTCAAACACGATTATTTTGATATTTTCTATTTCCCCTGCATTTTACCTGCCTCTATATATTAGGTTGACGCATAATTATTGCGGATTTTTTCCAGCAAATTTTACTTAAAGAAACCATAGAAATACTAAACAAAGACATATTCAAATAATTACTCCGGAACTTATCCACCATCTACGACAAGCACTGCTTCCCATTGATTAGTTAGTCGGATCCCAAAAGCGAAGAAGTTCTGATCCTTATGGGCGATCCACGCCTTAACATCGGCCATCAAGTCATCCAAATCGACGTAACTTCCATTCCCTAGCCATTTTTTCGATGAACGGTTAACGAGATAATCCATAAAAGTTCCTGCTGGTGATTATGGCAGATTCAGGAGCAAATCCCATTTCTTGGTTGGCTCTGGCTGGTTGTTCCATCGCCGAGAAGTTACTGAGATCGCGGAATGACTGTGCCACCTTCCAATTTTCTCGAAGTAGTAAAGCCTAATTTTGCGAATATGCGGATGGTTTCTGAGTATATTCTTGTAGAGGAAATCAAGTAGATAATTTCTAGGGAAAACCCGGACTCAATATTCAAATCCGATCGAGCGAAAAAAAGCCGCGAAAAAATCCGCAATAATTACGCATCAACCTAATAGCTGACACTTGGGATGAGAGAATCTGTCTACATGGGGGGGGGGGGGGGGGGGGGGGNGACAAGGTCGTGATGAGTTTTAGCCAGACAACAGGAGAAAAGTTCAGATAATTTGAGCAAAAAATACAGTTGCAACAAAGCATGAACTAGTACTTGGAAGAATTCAAACGACATCCGAAGTTTGAAAAGCATGCATTCCATCTTTCAAGTGGTCTAGAGAGGCCGAGCAATGTGTTCAAAGTGGGATTTCGACTCTTTCGGCTGAATTTTAACAGCCACAGCTATTTCATTTACTTGCAGATCCAGAATTGGATTTCAGACTACGAGACATGCCTGTTATTAGTTACTCACCGTCGACTACCATTCATCAACAGATTGTTAAGCGATAATTTGTCGCTACCTTTCCCAACCATTACCTTTAGTATGTTGCTTACCTCAACGCTGTTGTTGGGCGACTCGTCACACTCTGTTGATCGCGATTCCTGACGATTCACAGAATCTCGCCTCCTTAATGTTGGGAATAGGATAAGTGAATGTTTTTTCTCATATTGGCTTATAAAAAGACTTGGAAGGAGTTGACTAGCATTGACTAGCATGGTAGTATCTAACCTATTATTGTAGTCGATTGGTCGTACGGAGTAGTTTACCCGACCAGAGTTATTCATTTGAACCCTCATTCGAGAATTTGGTGCGCTAGCCGTTCTACAAATTGATAATTCGAAAAAAAAAGGAAACGCTTGAATACACGTCCATTTCGGAAAACCTGGTGTTCACCTGATGTTGTTGCGATTACTCTGCCCGGTTTTGGTGAGTTTATGACTCAAACGACAAGTACCAAGTGATTGTCTCATCAGAGCTTCACGTTCAGAAGCAACTCGGAAAATTTTGAAGTAGACGGATAGCATCACCTGGAAATTAACTTCTCGCAACATTCAGTATGAATATATGTGACGATATCTGCCTTAGCATGCTTCCTGGGAATCATTTCCTGGTAACTATTTCTTCGATAAGTGTTCAAAAGGACAGGGCCGGCCTTTCAGCTGTATTCTTTGGCCTTTTTTGCCTTCATATTTTCAGGTTGCAGTACTGGAACTATCGTGAAACACATTTACACTCATGACAACCATGACTGGCAGGAAATCTGCCAGTCAGGGTAAGGGCAGGAAGGAAGGAATTGGTGTGAGAAAGTAGCTTTATTTGCAAAGTCGGGTGTAGCATGGTTGTTTCAAACGACATCCCACCTATCAAGACGAGCAACTAACAATACATACGAGGGAGTGCATTCAGTAGTGCAAATGAGTCTATCAGAAGTATAAGCCCTCTTGCCACGCCTCAGAGTACGCAACGGAATGAGCCACGATCACATCACTGGCAACGTTAACTATTCGGAAATAAAAAAAAACACCACATAAAGGTTTTGTTCTGTACAGAACTCGCGCTGAAAGTCGAAAATTCGCGCAAAGACCGCAAGCTCGAGTCTTTTTCGTCTTTTCCCCATAAGTCGTTCAGATTGGAGTAATCCACGTGCTGAAGATACCGTTGAAGTCAGCTCAAGCTCTATAAGTAGTATTCTAGAGTATTGGAAATGCTCCGGTTCAAATTGTGCCATACACTTGAGTTCCATCCGAAAAGTAATTATCTGTACAATGTAGATAGTTTTCGACGGAATTTTCAGTTTCAGTCTCTAAAAAGGCGAAGAGGCCAAAACCTAAGCTGGATAAAGTTGAGAATCTCGGAAAGGCTTAAAACAGCACAAAAGACAAGACCTGTACAAGGGATGCATGCTTTGATGCTTGTAGAAGCTGACTGGTCTGTGAGGTTTTGGTGCCAAAACTCGCTCTAGAGTGCGCCACGACTCGAATTCACACAGTACAGTGTGAAAATGATTGGTACGTTTTGTTCAGTTTTCACCATCCACGGTCTACATCATCCATTCCTGATGTGGAGGCGGGAGTTGACTGCATCTGTAGCCCATGCATCAAAAATTTTACATGTCCGAAAGAGAATAAGTCACCAATCTATGGCAATCAAATGAGTCGATTTTTTGAAAATTTCCAATGTTTGAAGACAAAATCTGAGGAGACGGGTTGAAGGCACTCTATTATCCTAGATTACTCTTTATTATATGCAAGATTGTTAAGACATTCCACCAGAGATCAATGTTCCTCGTCACACACAAATTAGAATGTCTTTCTTTTTCCATTGGCCTCTTTGCAACTGAAGTCTATATGCAATCTATTGTAGTAATATATGGGCTGATCCGTGATGAAAACGTGGCTCCAAAACTATTAGGTTGTTCGGAAAGGAATGCGCGTTTGAGTTCAAAAATTTTTTTATTATAAAAACGAAACTAAACAAGATCAATTCAAGAGATATTCTCTATAACTACCAATGACTTGTTGCCAACGTTTACGCAAAGACCGGAATTCTTCTTCTGAAGAACTCGCCCGGCTGCGACTCAAAGTAGTTGGACACCCTGAGTTGGATTTTCTCGCGGTTTCTGACTTTTCTCTCGGCCAAGGAGTGCTGCATTGACCGGAACAAATGGTAATCGGATGGTGCGAGATCTGGGCTGTATGGCGTATGAGGCAGTACTTCCTAGCCCAATTGCTCAATTTTTTTTCCAAGGTGGTTTTCACATCATGTGGACGAGCGTCGTAAAGGAGGAATTTTGTCGACGTCGTTTCAACACCTTGACGACGCAGTGCTTGATCAACGCGGTTCAACTGATCTTCGTAAGTGTTCGCAGTAACTGTTTGACCCGAATTCAGGACTTCAAACTACACTCGACCTTTGCTGTTCCACCAAACACAGCGCACCACCTTTCTGCCGTGTATATCCGGTTTCGGAGTGTCTCCGGCTTCTAACCACCATCTTTTTCGTGTTGTGTTGTCGAAGCAGATCCACTTTTCATCAAAAGTGACAACAGAGTTGAAAAAACCACTGTTCTTTGAGCGACGAAGAAGGATTCCTGCCACCGCCACTCGTGGTGCCAACAAGGCCTTGTTGGCACCACGAGTGGCGGTGGCACACCTTGAGCTGGTGCGACACTCATTTTTCGCACCTGTTCGTCTTCCCAATCGCCAGCAAATGCTTATGGATGGTAGAATCTGAGCAGCCAAAATGTACTGCCAGTTCCCGGGTGGTTTGGTGTGTATCCAATTTAATCACGGTCTTCAACATTTGGTTATCGACGAATTGAGGCCGTCTTCAATGTTCTTCGTCCTCCAAGCTTTCATTACCGTTTTGAAACGCTGATACCATTGTCGACACTGGCTTTCTGACAGGGCTTCTTTACGGTATACTTCAGATATGGCACGGTGAGATTCAGCAGCCGACTTTCCTTGCTTGAAGTTGTACCACATGGAAGCCCGCAATAGGAATTTTTGGTCAAGCACCTCTTAAACTTTTTTTTCTTAGAAAAAACAAAGTAGGCATAGCCAAAAATATATTAAGAGACGCGCAATAAAAATCTCTTTCTGAAAGACAAAACTGTCTCGGAAAATCTTCTATAACAGGGGAGAAATGAATGGACAAAGTCAACGCGCATTCCTTTCCGAACAACCTAATATTTTCTGCTGTACGCCGGCCGCTGATCGACTTCTCACTAATGAACTCTTTGACGGCTGTCACCATTTGAGGCGTTATGTGTACGATTGTATCCATCTCGGAACACTGATTCCAAATCTGCTTTCCTTATCTGTTGAACGATTCTTTGAACAAAGTTTGCGGTTTCAAAGCTGTCACTATAGTACACTCCTGACAGAGCTCTACACCTGCTGTGCCTCGGTGGTGCAGTCGGTAGGCAAGTGGATTCGTGAGAAGAAGAAGATCTTCGATAATGTGCTGACTTTGCTTTCGTCTGAAAACTTCTTTATACTCTCCGAAACCAGTTTTGTACCCATGTGATCACCACTATCTCTCATCGGTGCTGGAGAATTAATTGCATGAGGTGGCATCGTATTATGAAAGAGAGGCAGTTTATTTCCTATTGCTCTTTCAAGATAGAACTCACATGGCATCGCAGAACCCGGAAAATTAATACGATATTCAGCTGCTTCAAAAACAGTGAGCTTCCAACCACTAAAAAAGGCAATGCAACTGTGCAATAGGTTCTGTTCTGAAGGTGACGTTGAACTCGGCTCGTCAGGCTCTACAAGAAATCTTAATTCAAGCTGAAGTACGAAGTTGTCATGTGTAATGGGCGATGCACTCGAGTTCCATCTCATCTGGTAATTGAATGTGCACACGGCGCACGCGATATCGCTTATTTTAGCTAATAAGCCACCAAGGAAGAAGCGCTTCAGACACATTCTGTAGCGCGCCACACAATCACCTCCATCAAATGCACTGTGGACTTCACTGAATGTATGTGAGGTTCCCATCTCATTTTCACACCCGAAGGTATTGTTCGTAGTTTAATATCCCCGATCAGTTGCATTTAATCTCACGCATAAGCATTACAGTTACTCTACAAAGTTAATGGAGTTCGATGCACATGGCGCATCCCAGCTTCGCAGCTTCGTTCGCGGCCGGCTAGGCATTGGTTTGTTCGCTGGGGGTTATTGGCCCTGCCGACGCCATCAGAATTATATAATATATAAAGTTAAAAAGTTTCACCTTGTCCAGTCATATACTTTACCTATAAAAAGGATAATAGGATGGTAGCAGTAACGTTAATAATAATTATTAATAATAGCAACATTAGGAGGAAATAAAGGATAAAGGATAAAGCTTTTTGGCGTTAATCAATCCCGTCTGAGGGATGCACCCCCGCACTCGACTCTCATTCAGAATCGTAGTGACGTAATGACTGCGTATGTGGCCTATACAATGACTTGCGGTGGCCAGCC